GATCGACAACGTTAAGGCCAAGATCCAGGACAAGGAGGGCATCCCTCCGGACCAACAGAGGCTGATCTTCGCCGGCAAGCAGCTCGAGGATGGCCGCACCTTGGCCGACTATAACATTCAGAAGGAGTCCACCCTCCACCTCGTGCTCCGCCTACGTGGTGGTATGCAGATCTTTGTGAAGACTCTCACCGGCAAGACCATCACCCTCGAGGTCGAGAGCTCGGACACGATCGACAACGTTAAGGCCAAGATCCAGGACAAGGAGGGCATCCCTCCGGACCAGCAGAGGCTCATCTTTGCCGGCAAGCAGCTCGAGGATGGCCGCACCTTGGCCGACTATAACATTCAGAAGGAGTCCACCCTTCATCTGGTGCTGAGACTCAGGGGAGGTATGCAGATCTTCGTCAAGACCCTCACTGGAAAGACCATCACCCTGGAGGTTGAGAGCTCTGACACGATCGACAACGTTAAGGCAAAGATCCAGGACAAGGAGGGTATTCCACCGGACCAGCAGAGGCTTATCTTTGCTGGCAAGCAGCTCGAGGACGGTCGCACCCTGGCCGATTACAATATTCAGAAGGAGTCCACTCTTCACCTGGTGCTCCGCCTCCGTGGTGGCCAGTGAGCTAATGCCCTGCTCATCCGCCGCCGCTGCTGCATTGTCCTGGAGTCTTATGTGATCCGTGTCTGTTGGTCTGCATTTGGTTGGAGTCTGTTCCAAGTGTTCTTATGTCGATGTTCGACATCATGTCTCTGTGTTCGGTGTTTGTCGTCGGTTCAATAATAAACTGCTGTCACGATATGCGACGCCACTTATGCTAATATGACAGGCTTCGATGCTTTCAATAATTTATGATGCAATTCTCACTATAAAGAATAATCCCTGATTAAAGAATAATACGCATCATGATTGCCCATATATGGTTGTTCTCAGTTATGTCGGGCTTGGTAGCAATGTTCTAAACTTATAATTTGGCTCTGTGGTCAAAGTCTAACTGATCAGTATCAAATTGTCCTAGCTGTGTGCCACATTTTTCGGATCTAACTGAGGCCCTGTCTCATCACAAAACATAAAAAGGACGATGAAACGTCACCTTCTTTGTTCAATCAGCTCCTCTGGCCACGTTGGCAACAAACATTCATCTCAACAAAACTTTCTGGTGAGGTGATTTCATATACCATCTTGCATTGGAGTTGCCGATTGATCTGCCTGTCTCATCAGCAGTAACATGCGCAGTGGTTGCGCGAACACGCATAAACAACAAATCATCAGTTCACGGCGATTCAGTCAAAGTTCCGCCATCTGTGACACAGTTTGGAAGTCATACTCCAGATCGACGACTCTGCACCGGTCATGGAAGTTCGCCATAAACACGTCCATGACAACCACAAGGCCGAAGGCTACCTACCGCCACCAAAGTCTTCTCAGAACCTTCCCTCTTCTCTTGAGCTCTATTTAATTCCCTCCTTTGCTGCCTTCCCTCTTCTCTTGAGCTCTATTTAATTCCCTCCTTTGCTGCCTTCCCTTCCATCCATCTCCTTCCACAAAGATGGCCATTCCGAGAGCCATAGTAGCAGTTGCAGTCATGGCAGCCATCGCTGGGCTTGCAAACGCCACGAACTTCGACGTCAGCTGGGATCTCAGCACGAACTACACACAGTGGGTCTCCGACAAGACTATTCGCGCCAGCGACACCTTAAGTGAGTTCTCCTCCTCACCTTGTCTCCCTCTTCACTGCACGAGCCGCAGCTCGTTGATCGCTCGTCGCCCATTGCAGCGTTCAGCTACACGTCGAGCCACGACGTGGTAGAGGTCACGAGCTCCGCCTACGCCACCTGCAACGCGACCAGCCCGGTTTCAAAGAGCGCCACGGGCAACACCCTCGTCGCTCTAGGCGCCCCCGGAAAGCGGTACTTCATTTGTGGGATCGCCGGCCACTGCAGCAGGGGCATGAAGATCGAGATCGACGTGGTAACCGCGAGCTCACCGCCTCCCGGAGCCTCTCCCTCGCCCAGCGTCTCTCCGGCTGCTCCGACACCGCCGGCTTCGTCCCCGCCCGCCCCTAGCACCGCGCCACCCAGCAGGACTCGCACGACGGCGAAGGTTGCTCTGGGAGTCGTGCTGATGGTCTTGGCCCTCTGATCACAGTTACTTTCTTTGATTAATTTCCTCTTGGATATTACTCTACAACTCGATCATGCTTTCATTCCCGAGGCATTACATTGGGTATTTGTGTTTCTTGCAATCCCAGAGAAATAAAGAAGCTTATTTTCCCTTCATTTTTACGATCCATGCCGAGTGGTGCCATTTGCATGTAGATGATGTAGTTGAATCAGAACAATGTGAAGGCAACGCTAAGGAGCATGGTTTGACCAACCTCCCTCTTCTTCGACGTGCTTGCCACTACCTTATTCTATTCTACACCGGGATGCAATCAAAAGTCAAGTCAGATATAATATGGAGGATCAACGATGAGTGGATCGAATCTCCCATCCGCAGGAGTTGACCTTATCAGGCAAACTATACGATGAAATCAGACTTTGATCGTCCAACGAGCAATTTCTTTGGAGGCAGATGTCTCTCTCGGAGTCATGATGACTTCCCCAAAGAAAATCCAAAAAATTATCCAAATATAACAAAATAAAAAAATATAGAAGCACTCTTGTTGACCAAAGTTGACATGTTGACCGATCAACTTTATCTTCTCTGCGGTTGCTGCCAAGAGCACGGTGGCTGACCAGCGACGAAGCTCGACGATCGGATGTCAAAGACAAGGAGGATAAGAAACTTTGGTCGGATTCGGGTAGAGAAGTGGGACTTCACATAGCCTTTTCACGTCTTCTTCCTTCGTCACATCTTCTCCTCTCTATCTTCTGTCGTTCCTCCAAAGCTCCATTTATATGAGCGAGGGAAGGCGGAGGGCTCACTGCAGCATCGCGGGCGACGGCACGTAGGTTGAATCGGTTCAGTGAAGAGCAGCCCGTCCGATCGACCGAGCATGACGGATCGGTCCCACTCCACCAAAATTTGAAAGCTTGACTGGTAGCTCAGTCTACCGATGGGGAATCCAAACTATTTGAGTACCCCAAAGGAGCTTTTGTAGGTTAATTGATGAGATTAAAAGTGGTGTTCTGGAAGAGATCAAAAGAAAAAAGATGATGTCTTCCCCTTACCGAACATCTTTTTGATAGGTTCTTTGAGGAAAGTTCGATAGAGGTCCATCTTGTATTGCATATCATAGAGCATCCTCTTTCTTCGTATCTCATCATTTCTCATATCATAGACCATACTTTCCCAGACTCTCTTAAGATCTTAATAAACTAAATTCAATAGAACCTCAATATCCCATCAAAGTGATGAATTAAACACTTGTCTAAGAATTCATGTGGATGTCCAGTGTACCAGACAAATTTGTCTGACAGTAGCCTGGACAAGGGGCCATTTCTCCGGCTAACGTTCCTGCATAGTGTTACATTTTCACGTTGTTACCTGCCACCGAGTTCATCAAATGACTGGATTCATGGATTATGACCGGAGCAATATGGATAAGAGTTCCAATTTAGAGGCCCTGTTGAGTCGGAAATAACTCTTGGTGTTGTGGGGGTGACGAAGAAGCAGCCTTTGAACGGTGGTTAAGCTTTACTGTGGCTTCGTTGGTGAACACCCAACGTGATGATCTACCTGCACTTTCTGCGTCGTATTTAACGCCGTGCGAGTGGCCGAGAGGTGCACTGTGAGCCAGGATACAGCACTCGAAGAAGCGATCGAGATGGCGAGCCAGGAACAGAAGACTGCCTGCGTCACCGGCGGCAATGGGTTCATCGCGTCGACGCTCGTCAAGCAGTTGCTGGAGAAGGGCTACGCTGTCAACGTCACCGTCAGGGATCCAGGTTTCGTCTATGGTGACCACAGCATCCGACATGGCCGCCCCAGTGTTTGACCGTTTGTGTTGTTGGTGCAGATAATGCGTCCAAGGTTGGTCGCCTGAAGCAGCTGCGGAGTCTCGGCAGGTTGACCATTTTCCGAGCGGATCTGTCGGAGGAGGGCAGCTTCGATGCGGCGGTGAGCGGCTGCCACTACGTCTTCCTCGTCGCAGCTCCGGTGAACATGGCGGCCGAGGACGCTGAGGTCGGCCCTCAACCACTCGATCACGAGACTGCTGCGTGTCTTTTTGCTGCTCATCAGTTCTTTGTCTCTTCTTCTGATTTCGACGTCAGAATGAGCTGATCAAACCGGCGATCCAAGGAACCCTGAACTTGTTGAGATCGTGCGTCAAGGCCAAGACGGTCGAGCGCGTCGTCCTGACGTCGTCGGCGGCCAGCGTCTCCATCAACGAGCTCAAAGGAACTGGTATGGTGTTGGATGAGGAGGCCTGGTCGGACCTCACATACTTAACGTCCAAGAAACCCCCTAGTTGGGTAAGCCATCGCGAGTTGCACGAACCTTGCTCGTTCTCAACTCACGGTAACAAGCAGCAGCACCACCGTGCAGGGATATGCGGTCTCCAAGGTGCTGGCGGAGAAGGAAGCATCCAAGTTTGCACTAGAGAACGGCATAGATCTCGTGACGATGATCCCAGCCCTGACGATTGGCCCTGCGCTGGGCGCAGAGGTTAATCTGAGCTTAATGCTCGGCGTGTCTTTGCTATCAGGTAAGGAAGAGCGAAGTGGAAGAGACGGTGAATCGAAGAAACTGATATGAGAACTCGGCCTTAATTTTGGTGTCCACAGGCAACGAAGAGCTGATCGACGGCTTCAGAATCATGCAAACCCTCTCCGGTTCCATCTCGTTCACCCACGTCGAGGACATTTGCAGGGCTCACATCTTTGTTGCGGAGACCGAATCGGCTTCCGGCCGCTACATCTGCTGCTCCATCAACACGAGTCTCCCGGAGCTTGCCAAGTTCCTCTCAGAACGATACCCTCGGTACAAGGTCCCTACAGAGTAAGCAAAACCCTGCAGCTCCTGCAATCAAAAGCATATTCTTGAAATCCAATTGCTAACTTGTGTGGCACGAAATCAATCGCAGCTTCTCTGACTTGCCCGAGAAGCCCAAGCTGATGCTGTCTTCGGAGAAGCTCATCAAAGCTGGTTTTGAGTTCAAGTACAAGCAACTGGAAGACATCTACGACGATACTGTTCAGTTTGCAGAGGCTGTAGGACTGCTGCAGCCGAAGTCGAAAGGTTCTCATCATCAAACCACAACTGGGAAGGGAGCATGAGAGGTTTGCGTAGTAACTCGAGAGGCATCTTTCTTTAGGGTACTCAAATAAAAGCCATGCTTGCTATGGTAGATGTGGTTTTTCCCTCCGAACCAGGCAGTGTTGGTCTTCTTCCAATGCCATGTTCTCGAGATGAACCTCGGCGGTGAGAATACCGTAAGCAGCAAGGCATGTTGTTGTCACTCCTATTATGCTATATAGTGAAGCTTGCCTGAAATTTCAATTAATATTGCTGCGCAGAAATTTTAGTATATTACTATTAATTTTAGTATATTAATTTTACTATTAAGATTGACTCATAAAGATCTGAGTATTATATTACTATTAATTTTAGTCTAAATATTTTGATTAGTATTTTAGGTCAAACGAAAAAGATAGATTAATTAACTTAAACCTTCAATAAGTATGAAATTGGTAGCAATTCAAGCGACTATCAAATCTAAGTTTTTTTTAAAAAAAATCTTTTCGTTTGGGCTTTTCTATCATTTCGTATGAATTGAATCATACGATAAATATGTCCATTAAATTAGATCGAATCTCCGTTATAATATTCTTTTACTATGTTATAGTGTTTTCTTGTAACTCTATACAAAAACACTATAAACAAATTTTTTAGATTTATTGCTATACCTAATTTATGAATGATAAGTATTTTTCTAATAATTTTTCAACTATAGTGTTTCGTAATATGTTTATAGTATCTTTTTAAAATATGTCAAAAACACCTTTATATATATATATATATATATATATATATATATATATATATATATATATATATA